TATGAGAGTGTGTGTATGTGAGTGTGTGAGTGTATGAGTGTGTATGTGAGTGTGTGAGTGTAAGTGTGTATGTGAGTGTGTGCATGTGAGTGAGTGTGTATGTGCGTGTGTGAGAAAGAGAGAGAGGGAGTGTGTGTATGAGAGTATGTGTGTGTATGTGAGTGTGTGTATGAGACTGTGTGTATGAGTATGTGTATGTGTGTGTGAGTGTGTATGTGAGTATGTGTGTATGTGAGTGTGTGTGTATGTGTGTGTGAGAGTGTGTGTATGTGAGTATGTGAGTGTGTGAGTGTGTGTGTGTATGAGAGTGTGTGAGTGTGTATGTGTGTATGAGAGAGTGTGTATGTGAGTGTGTGAGTGTGTGTATGTGTGTGTGAGTATGTGTATGTGAGTGTGTGTAAGTGTATGAGTGTATGTGTGTGAGTGTGTGTATGTGAGTGTGCATTGTGTGAGTGAGTGTGTATGTGTGTGTGAGAAAGAGAGAGAGGGAGTGTGTGTATGAGAGTATGTGTGTGTATGTGAGTGTGTGTATGAGACTGTGTGTGAGAGTGTGTGTGTATGTGGGTGTGTGAGTGTGTGTATGTGAGTGTGTATGTGTGTGTGAGTGTGTGAAAGTGTATGAGTATATGTGTGTGAGTGTGTGTATGTGTATGTGAATGTGTGTATAGATGTCTTCAGAAGTCAATAAAGGCGTAGACTCCTGGAGCTGACATCACAGGTGACTGTGAGCAGGGTACTGGGACTCAAACTCCGATCCTCTCAAAGGCAGCAAACGCACTCAGCTGCTGAGCCGTCTCTCCAGCACTGAGGAGAGATGTGGTTTGAATGTGATTGCCGGGTGACTCTTGGCTATATCTGAAGTTTAACAGCCACGTGGCTACGCCAGTCTATAGTAAAGCAAAGTCAAAAAGAGGCAATGGGATCTGGAAAATCACCGTAATTTTCTAACAGTCTGGGTTTAGGCCAAATGTCAGCCCCAGATCCAGAGTACAAGGCCTGTCTCAGACAAACCAACACCATCAGGCATAAGGAGAGGCAAACCTTCTGAGGAACGCTAAGAGACCATTCCCACAGCAGTCAGCTAAGCAAACACACAGCTATCCCCCCCCACACCTATGTTATCGAGCTATGCTGAGGGTGAAATAACTCATGTAAACATGTCATTTCAGTGTCTGGTACATAAATATTTAGTCACCTACAAGAATTATTTTTATTAAAGCAACACATTGTAGACACTCGGCATAATTGGATTAGGAAATAGAACCTGAACATTTCTGGGTTTTATGCTTATATCTATGATCTATACTAAATTAACATTTGGGTAGTAAACAAGTTAAGGATAAGTTTTGATTGTTTTCCTCTTGGAGATACCCGGTTGTTATAGGATCCTTAAGAAGACTTTTCTAATTAAATTACCTCATCTTGTATTTTCTTTCGTTTTGATGGTGTTTTCCCACAGAGTTTATGCTCGGCATTTTATGCCTTTGTAGCTGCATTACTTAGAATTTGTTTCAGTTCCGAATAATAGCCACAAAGACAATTGCTCCTAAATGACAATCCGTCCCATGGCTTGAACAACATCCCTTAGGATGGCTGCTGTGTTCGCTGAACCTCACCTGGCTGAGTTTTGAATTGTGGAATTTGCGCAATCTGGCTTCTCCCTGAAGGTCGTGTGGTGACTGCTGCCAGAACAAGAGAAGAGGTGTAGCATTGAGGACTACCTGCAGGAGTCAAAGGGATCCTATTAGAAGCACAATGTGTGAGTTCTTGTATTCTCTTCAACGGTTTCTTTATAAAATGCTGGGTGAGGCCAGGAGGCCAGGTGTTTATAGACTAGAGCTCCCTTGTGAGCTAACCAAGCTGATACTACCTGTCTTTGAAAAAAGGCCACGCTGAGTGAGAGGCAAAGTCTAAGAAACCCCAAGGCCAAGATCTCTGCACAAAGGAGATTTGCCCCGGAGGGACAGAGGGCAGGGAATAAGAGACAAAGGTGGGATAGAGAACAAAGGAGAAAGGGAGGGGAACCTGGGAGAGGGGCAGGGGTATTCATCCCAAGGGACAAAGGAAAATGGCGGTTTATAAAGGTAAACGGTGTAAAGGGAAAGCCTTCCTGCCAGCCTGGTTCCAGAGTCGCATCAGTCCCAAATAAACACACAGGAGGCTATATTAATTATGAAGCTGTTGGCCTTGCTTGTTTCTTACTGGCTAGCTCTGACTTAAGTATTTATACCATAATTGCTAATCTAAGTATTTCTCTTACCGGAGAACTTTCTGGGCTTCTTATCCCTATGGCAGTTACATCTTGACTCCCTGTGTTTCTCCTACCCAGAGTCCTCCTGGATTCCTAGTCCCACCTATCTTGTTTCCCTATTGGCCATCAGTGCTTTATTGACATATATACAGGACTTCCCCAACAAAAACGGGAAACCCTTGTGTTAGGATGAGGTGTTTAATTTTAACTGGGCGTGTTAATTAGGTGAGTCCAAGGGGGCTTTTGATTGCTGGACTTCAATACTTTGATCGCTGGACCTTGCTAGTCAGCCTCAGGAGGAGGAAGTGGCCAGTAAGGGAAGAGACCTCGGTGGCTAGCTTTAGGGATGCAATCTAACAGTTTTTAGCAAGGCAGAGGAGATGGGAGAGAAGGGTAAGGCCTGCCAGAACCATGAATACACCACCATGGCCAGGTGACACAGTTTCTTGAAAGGAAAAATGATAGTGTGCTTTTATCCCAGCCCACCTTGTATTCAAGTAAATCGAGGTCACTATTACTTAGAATGATGCACAATGATTTGTACATTCTTCTCCAGACTCTGAATTTAATACATATTTGTTGCTTTAAAATAATATATGTAAAAAACACTGGTTCTTCACATTTCTATAAAAGAAAGAGATGGTAATTATCAATATGATGAAAAGATGGTTCAAATGTGTTTAACATTGGGACTCTTCTAAGCACCTAGTTATGGTACCAATATTCTTTCTGTCTGATTCATTGACCTCAATAAGCATTTTTATTAGTATGTTTACTGATTTTGGGGGAAGGGGTATATGTGAGGGGGGTGTCTCTGTGACCCTCAGAGACCTGCAGAGCAAAGATCTGAGGAAGGCAAGCAGCCAGTTCAGTTCAATACGGCTTAGAGGCTGGTGTTGGTCCAAACTTTGAAAGCCTGACCCTGAGTGGTTTATTTTAGGCACACTTAAGCACAGCAAAATATGGCGAAAACTTTTCTGATGATAAATTAACTCAGCCCCATGTGCACAAAAAAGCATAAATGAATCTCTCTGAGGAACAAAGTAAGCTAAATAAAAGTTGGATGTAGCTAAGTGTGTGGCGGCGCACGCCTTTAATCCCAGCACTCAGGAGGCAGAGGCAGGCAGATCTCTGTGAGTTCAAGGCCAGCCTGGGCTACAGTGTGAGTTCCAGGGCAGGCTCCAAAGGAACCCTGTCCTCGAAAAACAAAGACAAACCAACCAAACAAAAAGAATCTAATTACAGAGGCAGAACTAATCAAACTGACAGTCACAGCAAAGAATTACTCTATACCTATTACAACAACCACATTAAAAGAACCTGTTGTAGTAAGGCTATGGGTAGATGAGGCCTCTAATACGTTTATGGCAGAAATGTGAAATGACGCTCCAAATCATTTAGAATTGCTTAAAAAGTTAAACATTCATTTGTCGTTAAGACCAGGAGTCCCATTCCTCAGTGCTGACCCAAGAGAGATTCAGAAATGTCTTCATACAAGAGCCTTGGACTTTATGCATTGCCACTAAAACCCAGGTACAACCTTGGGTCTATACTTAGGCAAATGAGTGACCAGGCAATGAAATATGATTCAGCAACAGAAAGAAATGAGTTATTGATTGCTACGGGTGACCCTGCTGGGACACCCCTTGAGGGAGGGGGGGAGAAGATTCAGCACCAACGACTCAAGACACCGGGAGTCCGTGAGTAGCAGAGCAGGCTGCAGACTCGTTCGTTGAGGAAGTTAGACTTGACTTTATACCCCCTCCCAAGGTCCCATTGGCTCAGGCGCTGACTCTGCTGTGTGTCCTTTCCTCATTGGTGTCTCTGGGCAGGCGTCTCTGTGTCAGCATCTCTGGGCTTAGAGGCAGGCTTGGCTCAGGGAGGAAGTGCCTGCCGCGCATGCTCTTGAGGGCTGGCCTGGGAACCTGGGGCAGGGCGACTTCCGCTTGGATAGGCTGGCTGGCCCGCCGCAGTTTCTCGTACAGTTGGTACATGCAGCGACACGGATCTCAAAAGATTTATGCTACAGGGAAAAGGCCAGGAGCAATGCTACAGAGGGTAGGCTTTCATCTGTGTAACATTCCGAAAAGAACAAGACAGTGAAGACCGGGGTAGGTCAGAGGTTGCTGCGGGCCGGGAGCGCAAAGGAGCAACATCAGGCGATGGAAATGTTCTTTCTCTCGATCGTAGTGATGGCTACAAAATCAGACATGCAGCCAAATTCATAGAAGGCATACCTAAATCAAGCGAATTTAGTGACATATGAATTATGCATATATACATATAAAACCTTACAAAATTCTTGGCTGCTTCCTTCCCCCTTAACCCTCCTTCCGCCTCAAGTTACACAAATATGATAAAATTCTGGAGGGAAGAGTGATGGCGGTTTAAGTTGACGGATGCAACTTTAAGAAAATAACACACGCGGTTACTCCCACCACCAAAGGTTTACGCACAGCTTGCAATTAAGCGTAGCTTCAAAGAATTCATTACCTTTGCGTTCTGATGCCTGCAACTGCACAATTTGGAAGGATAGATCTATTTAGGAAAACGCCTCTCTCTCAGCATTATCTGATACTGGCTCAGAGAAGTCTCAAGTCGCAGTCTATTGGACACAGAAGGGCTAAAAGAAGTTGCTTCCATAATGCAAAATGACGTATCCTGGAACCAGGGAAGTGATGAGAAAATTCCGCATGAATCCTTGTTCTGTTCTTGTAAAAGATTAACAGACTTCACTCTCATTAATTAGCATGTAGGCGTACCAGTTTCAGGAGAACCAATGATTTTCCTGAAGGAGGCTGTGGTCCTGTGGTTGTAAGAACAAAGAATCCCCTGGACAGAGGAAAAAGGTCTGGAATAGACTGCTGAAGTTAAGGGGTAGGAAGAAATTGGCCCCGTTGAGACAAATTCCACATTGGAAACAACAGGAAACCATTGTGGAAAGTACATTGGACTTACATGAATACAGTTTGGATTAAACTACATTTTCAACTCTGAGGAGTATGGGTAGGAGATGAAGGTGGGCAGTGGAGGTGTTTAGTCTAACGAGGACACAGTTGCAATGGTGAGGGACGAAGGATCGTGTCCGGAAGTGAGAAGCCATCACTGTGGGATGGAAGAGGTCAATCTGAGATGGGCATAGTACCATCTCTTTGTTTGGATAGCATTCTGAGGAAGGCAAGGGAGTCTTGGAGAAGGTTCGAGCTTTTTTAAACATTACATATGAGCTGTGTCAGCAGCTGGATCCAGCCTTTGTGTGACTTCATGCACCTTGGTTGTTTTTTTTTGTTTGTTTGTTTGTTTTTTTGTTTTGTTTTGTTCCACACCCCATCTTCCTACCATATATCATTTTGTTAGTTTCGGTCTCAGGAAGGGTTGCTGAACAAGCCGGAAGAATAGCCTGGCATTTTCAAGTCCTAAAAGGTAAAACTTTAGCAACGGTAAACGCTGGCCAGGTCTTAGGGGGGCTACACCTACGAGGCTAGGAACACAGTGTGGGTGTGGACACATTCTCACAAGAAAGAGAGGCAGTGAGCTGCGAAGATGGCCCAGTTGGTCAGGTGTTTGCCGTGCAACCCCGAGTGCCTGCGCTTAGTCTGCACGTCCCGAGGAAGAGCTGGGTGCCGCATTGCTTAACTGTAGCCCCAGTGCTGGGACAGTGTAGGGACAGGAAGATCCCGGGAGCTTGGTGGTCTCTTGCCTAGCCTAATCAAGAAGCTCCAGGTCCAGCGAGGGGCCCTGCCTCGAAAGACAAAGTGGACTGTGACTGAGGAAGACATCTGCTGACCTCTGTCCTCTGTTTGCACGGACACATACATGAGCATCCCCCCCCCCACACACACAAAGGTGAAGAAGAGAGGCATTGCCCAAGGGAGGAAAGTATTTAGTCATGAGAAAATTATACAAAGGCATTCATTATGTTCGAACTTTCTAGAAAAGGTGGGGTTTTGGATCAGCATAAAATGATACAATGAGGTCAAGTTACAGCAAAGTGAAGAACAGTTTTAGAATCCCCCAAGTACTCTTGTATTTGGTGCCACCTGCTGGCCGGTGTCTGCTCCGTCTTCCTTGGAATTGGCACCTTTTCTTTTCCCTCCAAGCCGATGCCAGACTAGAACTACCCTGTGAAGGGTGAAAAATGGTAGAGTCCCAAGACACCGGGAACATACGGCTGTCCTCATCCTGAGTCTTCTGTCCGCTGGGGCTTGCGGCCATCTCCTGGTTAATTAGAGCTCACCCTTCCTTGGTTGTTATCGGAACGAGGAACCAAGGACATGAAGATCCATCTGCTGCCTCTTCGCTGTTTGAGATAGGAAAAAGGATCTGCTTCTTACACTTTAGCTGACCCTTCCCACCTCATCATCACCCGGAGGTATGACACCATCCTTGCCCCTCTTCAAAGGGGCACAAGATGGGAGCCAGGAATCTAACGTAAGCATTAGAGTCAAGGTGTCCTGTGTAGCTTGCATTTTTTCCTGTATTACTTTGGTAATCAAGAAAACCCACAAATACTTAAGTAACGGATAATCTTGGTGATTTGTCTGCCTCTCGTCTTGGAGCGTTCTCTCTTTCCTAGCCGGAAGTACTCTCTGTAACTAGCCTGCGGGCACGGTGAGGGCAGGGGCAGACAGACACAGTGATGAGGGTAGGGGCAGACAGGACACAGTGACAAGGGTAGGGACAGACAGGCCTTTCCTCTCTAATCATCTCCTACCAGAGTGCCTGGTCCTTCTCACGATCTCATTCTACTAAGCTATCATGTCAATGACTGAGCTGTAATCTCACCAGGGGGAGTCACATTGATGGTGTACCTGTTTTATCATAATGCATTGTTCAGCGGTGACAACATTTCGTCTCTTACCTTCCTGGGAACAATCATAAGAAACACCATGGCTGGGCCTTGATGGCACACGCCTTTAATCCCAGCACTCGGGAGGCAGAGGCAGGCGGATCTCTGTGAGTTCGAGGCCGGGCTGGACTGACAGCCTCCAAAACAATACAGAGAAACGCTGTCTCGTAAAACCAAAAAAAACAAAAAACAAAAAAACAAAAAAAAACCCAAAAAACAAAAAACACCATGACATCAATTCGGGTGAGGACTTGTTTTCAGTAGGACTTTTATCTTCTTAGAGCAAAATTATTTAAATAGAATAGTAAGGTAAATGAACTACAGTTTGACATATATTTGACTTCACAGCTAAAATTTAGTTTGGTAATATTTTCACAATGGTAGGTGTATCAGTCAGGGT